ATAATTTTCATAATAATACTTTAATAATACAATAATAATAAATATTAAAAACTAAAGTAATAAATGAAAAAACTTGGAATTCCTTTCACTGTAATGAGTAATATGAACGTTGATGAAATTCTATTCCATTTTAATGAAACTTATTAAAGGAAATTTGAAATTTATTAAAGTAATCTTGCAATGAAAAATAATAAAACTGAATTTTATTATTCAATGTATATTTAATTATAATATATATTATATATTATTATACTATAATATATATTATAATATATATATATTATATATGCTAAATTTAATTTTGTCGCTATTTTATTATGTAAGAAATGATATGATTTTATTTCTCTTATTATTATTACATTAAATTTTACTTTGCTTCTTTCTACTTGTATTATTGTTTAGAAATAAAATCATACGATATTGCTTTCACATTTAATTACATATCGAATAAAAATATATATGTGTATGTGTAATTATTGGTAAATTTTATTACTTAAAATTCGAAGAACAAAATATTACATCAGAAACATTCCACGAATTTTCAGCTATTAACGACTCTGTATCGTTCCATTTAAAACGTAACGATTCATTAGGATCGATGGCACCTTTCCTATGAAGTAGAATCCAACTTCATATCATCGGTAACAATTGGCATCATGCCAAAGAGAAGATATAAGAAACAAATGGCGCATCTATTGCTTCGATAATAACTAAGTTATCCGTATAACGTTTATAAAAGCGAAGAATAAGAACAATAAACAGATTCCTTATAAAATTATATACTTAATTTTGCGTTAACGTTTTGTATACATTTTTCACAAAACGCAATCATATTTTATATGATAAAAACAAGGAAAAAAAAATATCATGTAATTTAAACTAATATAAATAAATGACTCAAACCTATTATAAAATCAAATCGATTATCCATTTTCTAAAAAATTCTTAATTTTATGATCAAGATTTAAGTCTTCAGAAAACAATTAACCTCGATAAAGTTAACTAATGGCACCTATATACCTTAAGTAAAGTTAACCTATTCTTACATTTTATCAAGCGAAAAACTAGTCCATTATGATTTAATCTGTTTTATTTATCAGTTTCAATTTTTTTTAATGAAATATAAATATGATGTATTTTTCTTGCCTATAGTTTTTAGAAAAAAGAAAATCTAAAATAATGTTTATCCTATAATCTACATTATCTTATTTTAAATTGAAACGAATAAAAAAATCCTAATAAATTTTTACCTTTAAAACTATTTTTTGAGAAAGAAATAGTTTGTATGATGATAACACTTTTCATTACATAAAGTAGAAAAGCTAAAATGGATAATATTTTCATATTAAGTTCTACAATCTTTTTATTCCATTTTAGATGTAATTATAAAACTTATAAAAAGTACCTATTCGAATAATCCGAATTAAGGGAAATTTTAGAGAAAAATTTTCTCTTTGAGGAAGAAACTACTTGATACAAATAATCGTTTGGAAGGAAAATCCATTAAAAGGACTTTGTATTTATAGAACACTCGAAAATACATTCTATGATATCTAAATGTATATATATAAAGTACTTCATATCCTAAAAAATATTCTAATGCAACACATCACATTATCACAAAAGTATAATAAAAAAAAAAAA